CCCCAAAACCCCAAAACCCCGTGAAGTAGCTATCAGTCAAATTTAAACGTATTTGAAATAAAAATTTGAATTTAAAAGATGAAGTAAAATTTGAGTCAATATTTTGACCTTAGATCTGCTAGACTGAGTAGTGATATAGGAAACCATAAGCTATCATTCAATGAGAATAGAGGATAGCTATTGACTGCTGTTAGTGAGAAAATTTTAATTGGCCACACTTAGTAGACTTCACCAGAATAGAATGATAGGAGAAGTCTTTATCTAGATGCGTTAGGAACTACAGATTAAAAGGAATTGAGCGGAAGCAAACAATTCACACTTACTAGATTATCGAATAATAATACAGATTAACAGCCTATCAATTAATTTCTAACAAGTGACGGGGAGAGTGAGAGGAATCTAAACTATGAAAACATGATTCAGTCAACTGAGGGAAGAGGGTATCCTTATGTTAAGGACAGTAATGGAAACGGCATTATGTTTACTAATCAAACATCATCTAGCATGAAGAATGTTCCAATGAGTTATTCAAGTACAAATTCAAGAGGCTACCTTGATAATAGATTCAAAAGATTGCATGAAATTGGATCGCCCATATAGGAGCAATCAACTGTTTAAAGAGATTTTAGACATCCTAGATTCTCAGAATTCAGCGGTGGAAATATGTAAAGTAGCAATAAAAAGTCAGTCAAATTTCTTGATGAGCAGTAAACTGAGAGTAAGTACACTAATAACTACTAGCACAGCCTTTCAAATGGCTTTTAAAATGGAAATCACCATTTTAACCATCAAAATGATACATCAAATATCATGTCTATCAGCGATAATAATTTGCAATTTTCGAACTATAAAGAAAATCAAATGGATGGTGATACTTCCTAGATTATTCAGGCATAAATTGACGTTAGAATGAATGAAATAAACTCAAAGTATTTCTCTAATGAGAGCTCTGCCAATAGGATAATCAGTTCTAGAGGTGATTAAGAAAGAGTTATAAAACCCATCATAAAGAGTATTGACACTACTATGAAAAGCCATAATAGAATAGAATCATTGACACCTTTATCAGATACTAAGAGAGATCCCATCTATAATGAGGATGATGATGAAGATAAAAACTCCTTAGTTGCTATGGAAGAGGCCATTGAGAATGAGAAGTCAAGAGTTCATAATAAGATTGATTAACAATTTTTCAGTAATAGAAGTGGTGAGCCATCCATTGTGATTAAGAATAGACTTGACAAACCCTCTGTTTTTACATCTACTAATTCATTTGAAAGACTTAGAGATGAAATTTTAAATAACTAATCCTATTCTAAGCCAGCTCTAGATTCTGAGTTTGGAACTTAAAACAGATCTCTTTAAATGGTACTAGCTGATAACTTTAACAAGGGAGAAAGATCGCTTGAATTTCCTAGGAATTTCAATAATGGTTAGACTCAGTAGGAATGGACTCTTAATAACTAAACTCAATTGTATTAAGATACTTTGAGGAGTGAAAAAGAGACGATGGAATCCATTAAAAATTATATTCCCTTAAGAAAAAGCAGAGAAAGAAATTTAGAAGAATCCAAGGTTGAGGATAGAGCTAACTCTAAAAATATGGCATAGAGAGACTAAGATAATGACTAGTCCAACAACTTTCGAGATAACTTGTTGAACTAGAATAAGGAATTTGAGAATAAGTTACAAAGTTTAAAGAGCAAGATTAGTAGCATCCATCGATAAAACTCACAGTAGAACATCTTATCAGCAGAAATAAGCAGACAGGAGATGTCTTAAAACTTGAACACAATAATTTCAACTCCCACAGTGAGAGATTTAAATTCAAATCAACAAAGGTCTCTAGAAATTTAATACTAATAGCAAAATCAAACCAATCTTGGAAATTAAAATTAATAGTATAGTGGGGATATTCTAATTTTAAACCAACAGGATTTTCAGACTAATAATAGTTCAAGAGGTGGTTCATCTTTCAGAAATTCTTCAAAAAGTAGAGAAGATGGAACTAATGCAATAAATATGAATACAAAAGATCTCTGATCAAAGATCATGGAACTAAAGTAAAGTATTAGTGATGATGAAGAAACCAATTCAAAAAGGACTATCAAAGAAATATCAAATAAACTTAGTTCGGACAAAGAAAACACATACAATCAACTTCTCACAAACCAAAGCAGGAATAAGCATCAGCATTCTAGAAATAGTTCTGCAAATAGAAGTTCTCATGGTCCTATAAATATAACCACGACCTATGATAATTAAACATCCAGTAGTCTAAGGAAAATTAGTTAAAGAGTTAAAGATTCCAAAAGATCAAAATTAGCAATGAATACTGTAGAAGAAACCAGGATACGGCCTTTAAGAAGTAATAGTGGTTAAAATAATATTCCAGCGGGTAATGCCAATAATCTCGATTCTGAAACTGTTTAAGGCCTTAAAAAGAAAGTTAAATGGTTGGAAAGAAGAAACATGGAGTATTCTTAGAGACTTAGAGATTTGAATAGTTAAAAGAATGATGCCTAAATATAGATCATAGATTTACAGAGGCAAGTACAAGAAATGGCATCAAAGTTGAAATATCAATCAAATGATATGAGGAATGTACAGAATATAGAAAGCATGAAAATAAACTAACTATAAAAATAAGTGCAAGAACTATAATAAATCATATAATTACAGCAATAAACAACATCTCATAAATAAAAAAGAGAAATATTCAAAGAGAATCTACAACCAAACATGATCTAGGATGATTCTTAAATAACTTAGGATCAAACTAATCCAAGGATACAAGCACTACAAGTTCATCATATGAAAATGCCTAAATTAAGAGCACCGTAAGTTCCTTTAAGATAAAAGCGAGACAATAATGATACAAGAAATTAAAAGGCAAACTAGAGCTTGATGACAGTTAGAGATAAATCTAAGAGTTTATCAAAGCCTAGACAAATCTTTACTAATATCAGACTAAGATCAGAGTCTAAAGAAAGTCAAAAGCATGACTTTAAGTAAGCTTAAATTGATAATCCAAAAAAAAAAGAGAAGGGAACAAGTAGATCAAAGAGCAAAGATAAGAAAAGATAAAATAGTAAAAAGGAAAGAAAAGTAATCAAAAGATTAACCAATCAGGTTGTCGAGCTTTCACAAATGATAGATAAGGTTTAAGCACAGTAGTAATAATAGAATTAAAGCTTGATGAATGATTAATATGGAATCTTAAAGATATTACAAGAAAAGATGCAAGGAGTAGACAGCCAAGATAAAGCAGAAAAATTTAAAGAATAGCTATTGAAAATAATATAAGATGGTTTTGGAGATGATGATATTAAAGAAGATAGAGTTATTAATCCATTTAAGGAAAACAAATTTAAAAGAGACAAATCAAATTGAACTTGAATAAGATAAATGAAAATATAATATAAAGACTTGATTTAGATTTTCAATATTGGTTCGAAAATATATCATGGGGTTTTGGGGTTTTGGGGTTTTGGGG